TTAAATAATTTTATATTTGTTTTTAACGTGAGCTACCAAAAAATAACATAGTGGAGAAACCAGGGCTTTTAGTGAACAAATGAAGGTTAGATACTATATTGCTATTTAGGATGCTTTCTTGAATACTATTTATTATTTTTATATTGTCTTATTGAGACAATCCATGCCTCAACTTAGAGGAAGAAATAATAGAAAACTTTATGAGCAATGACTGCCTAGCAGTGATTTGCAGAAACTTAGCCTCTCTTGGACTAATAGACTAATCTCCTCACAATACGTGACTTGTCTGCTCTAAGAGTCATTTTGTTTTAAATTCTCATTGTGTATATTGACTGTATTTGGTAATTTGCTACATCAAGACATTTTTATATAAGTATATATATTATACATTGATATAATATATAATTGATTTTATATAATATATATATTATACATTGATCATACTCTCCTGGATATTTTTATTCAATTATTTTACTCTATTCATTTAAAAGAATTAAGAACATAAAATATAGAGAGTTCATCATGAACTTTCCACATATGTGAACATTAGCCAGCACTTTTAGATACTTAGAGTGTGTCAAATCTACTGTAATTAATTGTTGGCCTTTTAAAGTTTCACCATAGGATATCCATTTTAGGTTTCAATTAATTAATTACTAGAATTAATTCCATTCATTCTCCCTATTATTTAGTGTTGACAATTCACCTGTTAGCATGTATTTAGACATTTGTTAATAATAAATAGTTTTGCTTTTAATCTTGAACTTTTTGAATAACTGTTTACTTTTCCTAGTCATTTGAAATTTAATTTAAAAACCTATAATACCTGTCTACACTGATACTTTAGATCTTTTACTTTCATGGTTATATAGAATTTCAATTTCTGACTACGTTATGATTCATTTATATCCCTTTGTGCACATTTGGTCTTTCATTGATTTGAATGGTTTCTTATTGTTGTTGATAATCACATGATTTGCTTTTTGTTGCTGTGATAAAATGTTATGATCAGACGCAAGTAATAAAAAAAATGTTTATTTAAGGCTTACAGATTTAGAGGTGAATCCATTAAGATAGGAGAGAGACAGCAGCAGGCAGACCAAGCAACAAGCTGAGATATCTTATCTTCTAAAACAGAGAGAGCTTGAGCTAGACATTGTATGAAGCTATAAATGCCTAAAGCCCACCCTCAGCTATACACTTATTCTAAGAAGGCCGCATCTCCATAACATCCCTGAGACTGTAAGTCTCCTAACCAAGTGTCTGGAAAAAGAGCTTATCAGAACACTTCACATAGATCACCATAATACAAAATCATGTCATCATGGACATTTTTATTTCAACATGGTTGTGTGTGTGTCAGTAAACATACTGAAGGGAACCTCAAAGACACCAAATTGTGTTGGTATTCCATTAAGGAAAGAAAATTCATGACTTGCCTTTGAAGTAGGTCCACCAAAAGCAAACACAAGTTTGAATTCTCCACTTTTTCCCTTGTGTCTTCTGTCTGTAGTTTGTGGTTTCTGGCTTGTCTGTCGCCAATTTGTGGTATGTATCTGACATGTTTTTATTACCTGTGGTTGTCTTGTCCCTAATAAAGAGCTTTGCTTTGGAATTATGGACAAGCAGCAAGAAAACATCACACAGTGGAAGGAATAAGGGATACTTTATAGGAGATTTTAATAGTTTACAGGAAGTTAAAGCAAATGTACCAATTATAAAGCAATAGCATAGGTAGTTTCCAGGTTTTGTGGCAATTATTTGTTGCATAAGACCTTTTGCAGCCTGTTTATTATTCTCACGAAAGGATCACTATAACACACACACACACACACACACACACACACACACACACATATATACACGCATGCACGCACGCGCATGCACACACACATTGCTCCTTGGATCAGGAACGTAAAAGAATGCATAACTCAAGATTAAAGGTGTATGTTAGCTTAGAAAGTAAAAGTTGATTACATGGTACTTAAGGGTGTTTGTCCCATTGTTCTCTTAAAGGCAGGTTAAACAAATAGTCTGAATACTCAGCAGTGTATCAGGACAACTGACCTCATGGTGCATCAGTATTTCAGCTGTGAGGTACATAAAAAGTTCCAGTCTCTCTGAATATGAGAGGTATTTTCATAAAATGATCACTACAATTTTGTATAATCAAGAGTACCACTGTATTCAATATAAAGCAAAATTGATTAAAAATTAAAATGCCACACAAAATAAACTAGATTGCCAATAAGAATAAGTTAAACCAAATAAAACTTGTTTCTGTAAAGTTTTTAAGAGTATTCACTAGACCCCACATTTTAAAAGAATATACAATACCAAAACCACTTTTGGTAATTCAAGTTCAAACACTGTGGGATCCATTAAGTTGTATGTATGTGTACATATGTATATGAATGAGTTTATGGAGGCTGGAAGCTAGAAGTTGATGTTGGGAATCTTCCTCCATTGTCTTCTACTTTATTATGTGAGAAAGAGTAGCTCACTGAACGTAGGATTATCAAATCAGTTAGTCTAGCTAGCCAATGAGCTCCAGGTACTCTCTTGTCTCTGCTTCTCCATCTTTAGAATTACAGTGCATGCCACTCTGCAAGTGGTGAGAGTACTGTGTCTCCAAACTTGGGCCCTTATATTTGCATGGCATACACTTTGCCTACTGTGCTAACTTTATAGCCCAACAATGAGTTTCCATAAATAATTATAAATTGAAAATAGTCCAGAAGAAATGAGGAGGAGGACAACTTTTAAGTCAGATGTCCATGAACTCTGGCTCTTCTATTGATAAGCAGAAATGTTGGCCAACGTTTAGCATTTGGACCCTGTTAATTGAGCCCATTTTCATAGGACTGTGTTGAATAAAAAGTAAATATATTAAAACTAAGAGCTTGACATCTACTCAAGAAATATTAATAATGAAAATAAACTTAAAAATGTGTAACTTTTAAAAGCATATTACTTTCAAAGATCTCACTAAGACAAACCAGCTTTTTGTATATTACCTGATTGTAAAGATTATTGGAATAGTTATGTCTAGAAAATAATTTTAGATCAATACTATATTTCTCCATAATTGCACACATGCAACATGGGACATTTTGGGAACTTCCAGAACAAAACTCGGAAAAATTAGAAAATTCTCTATGCTATGCAGATTTCTGATTCTTCCAATATTCTATTAAAACAGCATATCAGTGAAAACCGGGAATCAGATTTATCTTAACACAATTAAGGAAGGTAAAGGCTTGTAAGTGCAAAGGGGAGTGTTATTTTTTTAATAACCAACTATCTTAGACTATTAATGAGATACCAATCTCAAACAGGAGAATGTGTGGAAATCGCTGAAATTGAAAACGATGCTGAAGAAAGTGGTTAACTAAGCGGTTCCAGGCCTCCTGTGGGATTTTTCCTTTATGTGTCAGAATTGTACCTCTTAATCCCAATAGGCAAACAAGACTCAGCCCCACTGTACCCCCCATTCCATGATTCAAAGCAAACATGGACAAAATACATTCTTTACAGACATTGATTCAGAGCATACATTGGTATAATACACTCTTTACAGACATGAGCTTCTGTTGCTAAATCTGTCAATGCAGGAAGGCTGGGGCATGTGGAAAGGTCTAAGCTTACCTTTTGTTTGTTAATGTGCTTTCACAGTCAAAGTAAGGGAATTAGCACAAACTGGAATATCCTTGAAGAAAGACATTTATCTTCTTATTTTCTCCAGTGATGGATTGTTGAGAAGCAAAGGAGCATCAGCCTCACAAACAAATCTCCTACTGCCCTAAACAGTTACATATTCTTTTTAAAAATAACACAAAGTAGGGCAGTATCACTGACAGAGCAGCACTTCCTCAGGAATCTTGCTCTCCTATAACAGGATAGAACCATCTCTAATACAAATCAACATTCTTATTTCCACAGTAAGCACTTTAAAAGGTGGCTTGAGCAAGAAAAGACAACATTACTGAGCTGCATGCTCTGACAGTTTGGTGCAAGATGAGCCTGCGGATTGCACTGTGCTGAGTATTACAGCTTGTTTGGATGCATTTTCAATTGTACTGAATAAACAGCATGAGATGTTTGATGAGTGTTAATATGCAAGATGTCACAATTAGGTGTGATTGTTCTTTTAAATTACCCTGCTTGTTTTGTATTCTTCATTTGATCTCTCACAGACAGTGAGAAAAAAATTGTAATTTAAAACATATTGACTTTGACTCAAAAAATTATTTACACATTGTAAATTCATTGTGAGCTGAAGCATATAGTTAGATGGGAAAATATCTTTGGTCTATAAAAAAAAAGATACCAATTTCTTTCTCTTTTGTATGTGCTGTATCACGGCACTTTCTCTGCTAAATTCTTGACATTAAGTTTAAAGAAACTTTCTGTAAATAATATATCCTGTAAAATTTGAGAAATGGCCAGGAACCTGAACTCACAATGAGGTAGGATTTAAGTACATTTGTTCTGTTTATTTATAAATATGGGTTTGGATACTTCCTTTTATTTATTTTTTCAATGCATACAATCATTCTTACAACTCGACCTTCCATTCATATAATGGCAATTTTCAAAATAGGAGTCTGCGGCCTATGCTTATGGGATCTTGATTCTGAGTAGGTTTGTTGATCAGTTCTTTAGTTACTTGAAATTATTAAACTATCAATAAAGAAGAAATTTTCATATACAACCTATAGTGCTGAAAAGACAGTATAGCATAACGTGCTTCAAAACTGTGTATTTGATAAAGCCTGTTTCTACATCAGTATATGCAAAGTCAGCTGGTGAGCTGCTCAATAACCTAACAGTAATTATTCAACCTGTAGTTTTATATCAAGTCATGACTTCCTCTTGGTGGGGCTCAACTTACCCAACTCTCGCCACTCTTGATGTGTTTCTATCCGTCATAAAACATCTAGTTACCACTTTGTTACCTTGTTCTTACTAATGATCTATTTTCATTTTGTTCTCTCTAGGATATAGACCCACAGCTAACTGGATTTGATTTATACGAGGGAAATCTACATCAATGGCCACCCTCACCACATTGCTACCATGGGAAACAGAATGGTCAATAGGAGATGCTCTGATGAATAGTGATGATTGAAGATGCGACGTTCATCTGTGTGAAATCAATGAGAGCTACTTGCTGCAGGAAGAGTGCTTTGAGCTTTCCTTAACAAGCTCATATTTAAGAAACTGGAGCTGCATTCCACCAGCATTCCATTTTCTTCCAGGGGATACAAATATATTTGCCTTGCTGTACCAGATAAATAGACAACTAATGTGGGACCATGTCACTTCCCAGATGCATGTGGCCAAATTATGTTTGGAGAGCCATGATGGCATGTGTGGTCCACAGGGGATCGGGTGCTCCGTTGACTCTCTGCTTGTTGGGATGTTTGCTACAGACTTTCCATGTACTCTCTCAAAAGTTGGATGATGTAGATCCATTGGTTACTACTAACTTTGGCAAGATAAGGGGAATTAAGAAAGAACTCAATAATGAAATTTTGGGGCCTGTCATTCAGTTTCTTGGGGTTCCATATGCCGCTCCACCAACAGGTGACCATCGTTTTCAGCCTCCAGAACCACCATCTCCCTGGTCTGATATCCGAAATGCCACTCAATTTGCTCCTGTGTGTCCCCAGAATATCATTGATGGCAGACTGCCTGAAGTTATGCTTCCTGTGTGGTTCACTAATAACTTGGATGTGGTTTCATCATATGTGCAAGACCAGAGTGAAGATTGTCTATACTTAAACATCTATGTCCCAACTGAAGATGGTGAGTTCATTGCAGGAATACAGGGAGATATGCGTATTTATTTTCTATTCTAAGTTCTAACAATATTAATTTACATGTACTGGTAGTATGCATGGCTTTTCCTGTTGGCATGTAGACATATTTTATATGCTTGCATGCTGCTCCTTTTTGTTTTGTGTGTCAGTGTATCTGTTCTTATTTTTTCACTGTGCCTACTCATTTTCTTTCTTCCACAGCACGTATATTTAGGTAGAAATGGGCTCCTAATTTCCATTTCCTACCAAATGACTCCTGAGAAGATGCATCAACGTTTCCTCATTGCATGTGCAGGCTCAACGAATTGGGGCTCTTTGGCACTCAGTAAAAGCAGGAGTATACTAAGTTAGATAGTGGTGTTGCATGTTCCGGCGGTCTGTGATAGAGCGCCATGTTATTTTCTAGTCTTCTATTCATTTTTCAGTAAAAAGAATATCCAAGGAATGTGCCAGAAAACCCGGCAAGAAAATATGTAGAAAAGGAGGTATGTATGAAAGTGAAAATGAAAACGATGTATAAGTTTACAGAGGAAGAACGATATTCTCCCAAAGATGCCTTGCTGATACTGGGGAGTGAGTGTTAGGTGAATGATGGGTCAGGAGAGCCAGTGCAAGCTGAGCAGACAATACTGGGAAAGCTCCTTGCTGGCACTTGTGTTCTCCTTTGGGCAGTGGTTTTGTAAATTTTTTTTTCTGAGAGACTTTGCTCATAAAGAAAAAGATACCTCACTCTTATGCTGCCTAAGGAACCCAAACAACACTGCCTTTACAGGTGGTCAGTTTTGGTCCCTGTACTCTTCCTGAACATGTAGAGATGTGCGACCTTCTTCAAAATAATCGGTTCAGTCAAAACCTTTGCTTTATATTAAAATATTCTTAGATCCTCCTGCACACCTTATAGACTTTCCAACCATAAGAGTCAATTGGCTACAGCTACAAGGTAGTTACTATTACTAGGTAATGGTGATTTTTTCACCCAAGAGTCATTTTTATTTTTAGTTACTCTTCTAGAAGAAAATTAGATATTGTGTTCTTGCTGTGAAATATTTATAGTCCTCAAATGTCTTTAACATTTATATATTTATGTTAAACAATTTAAAACATGGGAAAGAAACATGATTCAGAAGCTACAATTAAATCAACCTTCAAATCATCCTCTAGCCAGATTGAGCAAATTCAGACACTGACAGCTGCAAGCTTGCATTGAAATGCAGCATGTCCACACTCCATTTTATATAACAGTCAGTAAATCATAGGAGTGTATGATTTCTTATGTCAGTAAATCTTCTAAGTGTTATTTTGACCTTATTCATAACTTGATAGAAATTTCAATCTTCCTACAGAAGTCATATTACTATTCCACTGTTGTATATCCCATCTCTCTATGCTTGGGTCAGACCTCATTATGGCATCTTTGTGGAGAAGGAAGTAGCTAAATGATTCTGTTTTATGAGACTGGATTATATGGGAGACACTTAGGTTAACAAAATTATCAACCTTCCATCAGAAGTATTTGCTTTAAGTTGCTTGGGTGACATAGAGTTTGGTCTTTAATTTTTTTAAAAAAACTTAAGGCCATAGTTTGGCCAAATCCATAGTATACATAAGAAGATACATGGAGGAAACAGAGTGCTTTTAAATGACTAAAGAAAAGTCTTCTTTTTAAATTTTCAAATGAGAATAACAGCAGTGATTTACATGCTTTCAACTAATGTATAATGCTGCAGAGGTTATTATTATGCAGCTTATCAGGCATGTGTAATTAGCTAAGTGACTTTCGCCTCCTATCACAAAGCCGTTGATTCACAAAATCATAAATAAAGATGCTGTTGAAGAATGCATAAATACAGCATAATGCATAAAAATAAGTGTGATTAAGAAAAGAAAGATAAGGACTCCAAAAGGTAAGATAGTAAGCAAGAAAATGACCTTTCTTCTCATAGGACTTCATGGAGAAAAAAAAACTTAGTAGTAAATTCTTTTTCTCTATCCCTTGGTTTGTTGGTTCTACATGCTTATCAGAGAGTTGGCAAAGAGTTGTGTAGGCTGGCCTGTTTACTTTGGCAACCTTTGAGCTAATTTATAATTAGATTGGGACAATGTCTACAGATGCCCACTGACTGTGTGCTGCTATTATGCAGTGCTAATTAAGCACTATTTAACAACCCCTTTGCTAGGAACTTAACACATCTTATAATTAAAGAAGACTTGCTCCTTTTTAGTTGATGATTTATTACCCCAAGTCAGAATAACTAATAATTTATGCATAATATTCTATACAACTAGTATACTATAAGAAATATAAACTAACATTTATATTTGACTCTTAACAAAGTAATGAAAAGTTCCTCTAAACTTTTAGTTTTATATTTATTTTCTACAATGAAATTTTTATTTTAGTCAGTTTAAGAAAATTATAAAACTACACATGCTGTCAAGCACCTGGCATCCCGGCACGAGGAGCAGGAGGATATAGGTTTCATATACAGCTGTGGCTACACTACACAATAAACTGGAGGCTAGCCTGTGTTCTGTGTACCCTGGCCCAAGAAAGTACAGAAAAAATAAAAGATAAGGGAAAAAGAGAAGAAAATATCATTTTGTTTTAAGAAAATACTAGTAATCTCTTAACTATTTATGAATGCAATAAAGATAAGCTATGCATGGACATGAACAGTGTTGTAGAACAGAGTAGTCCTCAACAATGGTTCAGATACTGGGTAACAGTTTTGTTATACTTGGTTCAAATGCTAGTTTTTGTCTTGTCATTATTTACCTCTTCTCTTTTAAATGTATAGCGTCAATTGCAGAGGCAGATGGGCCTGGTTCCTGTGCCAATCCCACTCTAATCTGGGCATATTGTATTCACACAGAACTATTTCTTAATTGCCAATTATAAAGATGTAGTAATCAAGTGAGTTAGTAATAAATGAGGCAGACAAAGAATTCTCTTCTCAGAGAGCTTACATTCAAATGACTTTGTAAAGAACAACGCATTTTTGTTTCTTTGATCTGTACAAAAGGAAGAAAAATTTCTCCCTCCAGGAGATGTCACGTTATATTTTTAAAATACCTTTCACAACACTCTCCTCTGCATTTGAAGTTAGAAAATACATTTAAAAAATAACATCAAAGGGCTGCCTTTTGTTTTAAAACAAGTCTCTGCTGCACATTTTAATGTATCTTTTTATATGTCCTATGACAGTTTAGCTATATGTTAATTGATTTCTAGATATTCTAGACATTGCCTTCAGAGTTCTATCCATTTAAAAATTGAAAAGAAAAATGAATTATTAAAATTAGATGCTGCTGCAGAACACTTGGACACATTAGTGACATAGAAGCAGGAGTTTTGCATGTGGAGAGGATCAGGTTTTTACATACTTTGTCCATTTAATCATTTCAACAATGTTATGAGAAAATTATACCATAGTTCTTGACCATAGCATTTATTAGATAGAGTTAGGTTATGTTAAATCACTACATACAGGAAGCATGGTTTAGTCAGTAGAGTAGTACAAGCACAAGGATCTGGATTCAGACTCCAAGGACCATAGAAAAGCCAGGCATGATGACTTGTGTCTGCAATTCTTCCTGGTAAGACAAAGGACCCTCCTGACCTCATTGGCCAATGAGTATAGTACATCTTGATCTCCAGAGCTGGGCATCGGCTTTCATGTCCCTTCCTTTCACTTCCCCTCCTTCTCTCTTATGGTTTTCTTTCTTGCATATTCAAATATATCCAAAAAATTTAAATTTTATCTATTCACAATATTTTCACAAATTCAGACCTTATATCAATTGACTTGGATCAAGCTAGTATAAACAACTTATTTGTAAAAGTACGTGCACAGTCCATTCTAACAACATTTTTATTGTTTTTATTGGTGCTTTTTTTTTCTAGAGTTTTTTTTAAAACTTTGTTCTTTCTCTCTTTTCACACTTGTACTACTACATATTCTGGTCTCTTATTTCTCTTCCCCGATTCTCTTCCATTCTTATTAATCTCTTTCTCATCCAATAATACTCTTTCATTTATTTAATACTTTGAGTTTTGTTTGCTCTCTCACAGAGTTTAATATTATTCAATCCTATGCAGTTTTTGTTTTTGTTTTTGTTTTTGTTTTTTTTTTACTGCCAAGGCTAACATCCCAGTATATTCCCCTAGAAAGCTATGCAGGGGTAGTTTTAGCTCATTTCAGTTTCCCTGTGTTTCTAGGTTTCTGCCTTGTGAAACTTGCTAATAAACAGTGAAGTGGTCAAATATCAGACAGTAAGCACAAAGAAGGAACAGGAGACTAGAATCTACAAACAAATTGATTGACTCCTGATTCTGTGGCGATGCAGCCTTGCAGTCTTCTGGAAGTTGACTGTTATTTCCATAGCTTTCTGGAGATGAATACAGATTTTGATTTTCCTAGTTATGATATTTTGTGAATCCACTTCATTTCTCTTCTTTTCCATTACGTGGGCATCTCTATAAATGACTGTTATAATTCCTTACAGCTTAAGTATGTTCCTGATTTCAAAAGTATTTGAGTTCTATGCTTGTAGTGTTTACTTGAGGTCATCTTCAATGCAACCAAGAACATTTCTAGCAATTTTAGGGTTTATTTGGTTGGTTGTTTAATATAGGAGCTGAATTGACTTCTATCACCATTGAGTCTTCAAGATTTTAGTAAGAATTATATTCCGGAATCATATCCTTTCTGGATCCATATTTCTAAATCCTTCATTTATTTAACAAATATATATTGATAAATGGCTGTGTAGGAATTATTGTCCTAAGTTCAAAGACATCATTAGTCTACAGGAAAACAATTTCCTACTTGGACTCAGCTAATGAAAATGTTTACTTTAATTTAATAGTAGTTAAGGGAAAAGAAGAAGCAGAGTAATGAGGACAAGCTCTGTGGAGTTGTGGTATGAAGGCAATTTTTAAAAGGATGCTCAAGATTGTCTCTATTTGACCTAAAGCTAGGGATCTGTCTTGTATGTTTCTTGAAGAGTTTAGAGTGCATATATCAGGGAGGGTTAATGGAGAAGAGCATTGAGATTCAAGAAGTTTGGACTTAATTTTTAAAAACAGAATAGTGGACACATTAAGAGAGGGTGGGAAGAGGATACTGAGACACGTAGAGAACAAATAAACTACTAGTCCACTAAGACCTGAGAGTTACCTACTCAGAACAGGAGGAGAACAACAGAAATTGTAGTTTCTTTGTGTTTTGAAGATAATATTTATTGGTAAATTTCTTATAGGTTTTGACCAAATCCTGCTCTTCCACCATAGAATATTCTATATTTTATCAATTAAGATTGAAGGAAAAAATACAAAATTATTTAGGGCTTAGCATATTATGAAGTTTTAGCCATCATAAATTAAAGTTGATCATTACTCATTCACAAGCGAACATCAAGGAACCAGTGTTCTGAACCAACATCACGGACCATGTTTAGAAAAGGGCTGTATGCTGGAATTTTT